ACACACACACACACACACACACACACACACACACACACACACACACACACACACACACATACACGCACAAACTAATCTCCTTAACCTTCACACTCTACTGCTTCACCCAATCTATTCTTCACCCACTTCACCCACTTCACCACTCATCCCACAATGTCAACATCCTCCACCACCACCACCACCAACACAGCCGCCTGGCTCCTCGAGCCCAAAGCCCACCCCTTCCAACTCCGCGAAGCGCCCCTCTGGCAACCCGCCGAGAACGAGATCCTCATCCGCAACCACGCCGTGGCCATCAACCCCGTCGACGGGAGCCTGCAGACCAAAGCGTGGTGGCCCATGGAATACCCCACCATCCTGGGCCAAGACGTCGCCGGGGAAGTCGTGCAGGTCGGGCCCGGAGTGACACGGTTCCAGCCGGGCGACCGCGTGGCCGGGCTGGCCGTGGGCATGGCCACCAAGCGCGACCAGGACCACGCCTTCCAGGCCTACACCATCCTCCAAACCAACATGGCCAGCGAGCTACCCGACACCCTGTCCTACGAAGCCGCCGCTGTGATCCCGCTGGGCCTGTCTACCGCCGCGTGCGGCCTGTTCCAGGACACCCATCTCGCGCTGCAGTATCCCGCGGAGCCAGCACGCCGGCCCCCCACCAAAGAAACGCTGCTGATCTGGGGCGGCGCCGGCAGCGTGGGCAGCAACGCCATCCAGTTGGCCGTCGCCGCCGGGTACGAGGTCGTCACGACGGCCTCGCCCCGGAACTTCGACCACGCCACGCGGCTCGGCGCCAGCCGGGTCTTCGACTACCACAGCCCCACCGTCGTCGATGATCTCGTGGCGTGGCTGGAGGGGAGAACCCTGGCCGGGGCCATGGATTGTATTGGGTTCGCCGCCACGCCCATGACCGTGGCAGTGGTCAGCCGGTCGCAGGGGTCGAAGTTTGTGGCCACGGTCAAGGGCGGGTTCGAGGCCCCCGATGGCGTGACCGTCAAGAGCGTCTTTGGGACCACGCTGAAGGACAATGCGGTGGGTAAGGCAATCTACGAGGACTTCCTCCCCCGCGCGCTGAAGGCCGGATCCTTCGTCCCCGCCCCGGAGCCCCTCGTCGCAGGTCAGGGTCTGCACAGCATCCAGGCAGCGGTCGATCGGCAGGCCCAGGGCACCTCCGCACAAAAGGTGGTCGTCGTGCTGTGAGTGAGCTAAACCGGCGGGTTTTGTGTAAAGCTGATTCTCGCGTGGTTTCATCTGGTTCCCGACCTGCCCTCGTATCCTATTGGCCTTGTCATTTGTTGCGATATGCTCCACCCGGCCTGTTGGACTCATGTACCCCGGGACTGGCCACAGTATTCGTGTTGTCGGGATTTTGTTGAAGAAAAGTTTATGACACCATAGCCCCATCAATAGGAGCAATAAAAGCCGTTGGCATGATAGAGTTGCTGACTCAAGCCGCGAGGTCGTACAGATTCTTGACGCAATGGGCACACCACGGACCTTCAACTAGAGTTTCCTGTCCTAAGAAACCATACGCAGCAGACCAACCGTACAGGAAGTCGAATGTAGAAATTGGTGGTTTCACAGACCTTCAGCCTCAAAAGTGAAGAACTTAGGTGTTCTGGTGTCTGGAACAGCACACAGCCCACGTGTAGAGACCCCTCTTCTGTACCAAGGAAAGCTTCTCACAAACATGTGCCATAAGCCTTGTGTCAGAGCCGAGGCCATGCCGTCTCCATTCGCAAGACCTCATCCACGTTTGGCTGGCTTGGCAACAAGCTCCGGCCAAATATAGGACGAGGGTTCAAGCACCAAGGCCCAGCATACGACAGGCAGTCACCGACAAACCGAGCCCTTAAGCTTATTCCACTCAGATCAAGTGGGGTATTCGACAGAACTGATCCAGGGACGTTGAACCCACCCAGAACGGGCAAGTGCGCGTTCTGTGATGGTTTGTGCCCCATTCCCATACACGGCCCTGACGAAAGTGGCGCCAGCGCAAGTGGTGGTTCTGTTAGAGTGAGTTGAGTTATCTGGCATCTCTGCACAGAACTCAGCCTCATCACCCGCAACTCTAATAAGCCCAATAAACAAGGCAGCTGACAGCTACAGCGGACATGTTCCTCATGGCCTCACACATATGCAGCCATCGAATTGATTCCGACTTCAGAAGGCATTAATCGCGCTTCGTGTTGTCATCAACCCAGAAAAGAGTCTATCCCAACCAATGTCTCAGGTGAGGATCGTCGTAATTCGTCCACCGGATCGATGATCCGTATTCGAAGAACCTGAGACCAACCGTGGCGCTTATGCGTTATCGGTCCCTACAGACGTAGAAAGGCAGCACGTCGCAACACGGTCGAGTTTCTGGGGTCAAGCAAGATCGGAAAATAAAAGTGTAGCACAGCATCGTCGGTAAGATAGCCCTAAGAGGGGACTCTACCCAGCACTACGCATCCGCGAGCAATACGCTAACTGGTTCGGCGCGGATTCATATCAGCTCAGCAACGCTAGATGTGAACTCCTTGGCCAACCTCCAGCTTGTCAACATGTCGCAAGTCGTCGAGAGTCGGGACAGCCCTCCTAGAAAGCGACAGAAGCCCGGAGCAGCGTGTGAGGAATGTCGACGGCGGAAGCTCCGTTGTGATCGCCGTCAGCCGCAGTGCGGCATGTGCCAGGCTTCGGGCGTCGATTGTTTAGTGATCACCGCGCGATCGCCACGAGGCCCCAAGCGCGGATATCTCAAGTTGCTGCAAGCGAGAGTCGGTGAGTACGAGGTTGAACTCTCGAGAGAGTGTTGTTAACATCTCCCAGCCGCTCTGGAGAACATCCTACTTCAGAGTCAAGGTCAAAGCACGGTGACTCCTCCAGAGGTGCAGCCGCCAGAGACCCAGCTGCTGGATGAGCAGGTTGATCTGTCAGCGTGGGAGATACCTATCTTGGGAAGCCAAAGCGTGGAGGATTCGTACTCGGGCTTGGCGGCAGAGAACCTGCCCGGTTCTTTGTTAGGAGATGTCCCAACGCCAGTGCCTTCCATATCCCCACCAGACCAACTGTCCAGTGCTGGAGACGAGATGTCCATCCCAGGTCTAGATCCTAGTTCAGTGCCGAGATCAGCATCGGAGGATGTCTGTGAGGTCCACCTATCAAAGTTGATGCAAGCAGACTTGTCAGTCCTCGAATCTCAGATCCCAAATGACCATCTAACGAGGCACAGGGATCAACTGTACTTCGATCGAGTCCAGAGCTTTATGCCTATTCAGCACCAGCGTCGCTACTTCGACTGGCGGCGGCTGCCGTTCAAAACAGAGGCACAGTCTTGCCTACAGCATGCTACATGGACTCTCGCCGCCTCGGTCTCCGCGCACTACCAGAGCATTGGTGGCTCCTTGTATCAAAACGCAAGGCGAAAATTAGAGGCGCTGGATTCCCACCCCGCAGCCATGCCCTCGACAGAGCTCGAGCAGGTGCAAGGATGGCTCCTGCTTGCCGTCTATGAGCTCATGGATGTTGACTTGCGCCGGAGCTGGATCAGCGCTGGACGAGCATTTCGGCTGATTCGGCTGAACTGGCTCAATAGCCTTGACGGAACGGATCTCACGTACGGACAGAGAGACTTGATCGAGTCGGAGCAAAAGCGCCGAACTTTCTGGATGGCTTACTGTTTGGACCGCTGCGTGAGCATGCGGACGGGGTCGCCGTTGACCTTCAGTGAACGCGTAAGTGGCGTCGACCTAACCCAACTTCAAGAGGAAAAGCGGAAATAATTGAGCCCAGGTGGCCATCCGCCTGCCAGCGCCCGAAGGAAATTTCCAGAATGATCAACCAATCTTGATGGGGTTCCTTCCTGAGGTTCTGACAGTCACAGACCCTGCAGCGGTCTCGAGCTTCACCGAATGCATTGTCGCTGCGACAATTGGAGGCCGTGCGCTCTCGCACCGCCACCAACTCCTCGTGCGCGACATTTACTACGACGCCACGGAAGACTTTCGAAAGCGACATCAATGGATCAACTCGATCCTGGTGCGGCGCATGGAGGCGTTCGCGTCGCGGTACCCAGGCGATATGCCCCAGGCGGACCCTATGCTTCTATTTGTGAATCTCATGTGGCGAGCGATCATTCTTCATCTATATCAGACTATGGCCTGTGAAGTTCTCCCGGGCGAGGATGAGGATGAACTGTTGCGAGAGTACAAGAAGCAATCTTTGGCAGCTGCGC